CTCCCTTTCTATAAATCCACCTCCCGAACCGAGAGACATCTCAAAAAAGGAATTTTGCTGTGTTTTTGTCCTTTCCATGTTGGAGAACATAAAAGACGGTGGCGACTCTTGCTTACCGCGACATTTTGCGAACCAGCTTAAAAAACAGTCAGTTCTATTTCCACCAATCACACTAGTATTAACAGTCGGTTCTGCCACCGTATCACAACATCGACACATAAACACATGCATCGATACACATGTCGTATTGTCTTTCAAAATCAAAAATAAACTCAATATGCATCGACACATACACGTTATATGTCGACTCATATAAAATGAATGGTTTTAGATTCTTTATGTAAAACATGTTGTATCGATACATAAAGACTTGCATCGACTCATACATATTTGATATCTCTGTAATATGTTTTGACATCAGTATGTATCAATACATAATAGATTGTATCGACTCATCTTGTACTTCACAACTAACATGTGTCGACTCATGTTAAACATGCATCGACTCATAATGAATTTTTTCACCTCTATCACCCCCTCCCTCTTGATCACTTGCCACACCGTCTAACATGCATATCTTTAATTATAGAAAAATAATTTTGGGCACATTTTATCAATAAATGAACACATCAGATTAGTTAAACTGAAAATACGTAGTTGGCATGTTACATAAGTATGTTCCAAAATACTGACATGTTACATAGACATGTTTCAAAAGGTTGACAGAATGACACGTTACATAGAGATGTTCCAAAATACATAAACCCTAAAATTATAACTAGATGATCCTCTTTGATGCGTTTCTCTTGGTTGGAGTAGATCGCCTGGTGGTAGGACAAGTTGCATTCTTGGCTACTGAGAGTCTTGTTGTTGGTTCTAGGGGTACAAAGGGCCTTCTCACACCTAGTTTTTGTAGCTTTCCAGTTCCTCTAGCTTTCTCCTTTGTGCCTTTCCCTAGTACTGACTTTCCTTGTGAAGACTGAGTTGCATTCATATAACCCTGTGTAACTAATGCTTGTGTTGCTGCAACCTGACTTGTAGTGGTTTGAGATGCAGAAACTTGTGTTGCACTGCCTTGAGTTGTTTTGCTTTGCCTTGCATTAACTTGAGCTGAAGTGGTTTGAGTTGCACTGGCTTGCCTTGCATTGCCTTGAGCTTTAGGGGTTTGAGATGCATTATTTTGAGTTGCATTGCCTAGAGCTGTAGTGGTTTGAGATGCATTGGCTTGCCTTGCATTGCCTTGAGTTGCAGGGGTTTGATATGCATTGTTTTGAGTTGCATTGCCTTGAGCTACAAGGGTTTGAGATGCATTATCTTGTGTTGCATTGACTTTGCAGATTTTCTTGTTATGTCTAGTTTTCTTGCACCTAGAACACTTTACAATAAAACCAGTTCTTCTCAGTTTTCTATCAGTGCCATCAATCTCCCTTTGCTAAGGTTTCTCCTTTTCTTTGGTCTACCAGGCATCTTTCTAAACTTAGGTGGTTGCACATCATGATATTGAGTTTTAGCCCACAAATTGGATCCATTCACAGGATAAAGCACAAACCTATATATTGCCTTGTACCTAGATACCCTATAATAATCTGGAATATAATCATCAACTTCAAAATTCCTACTCTTCATGGATGACATGGCATAGACACATGGAAGTCCTGTGAGTTCCCACCTTCTGCAGGAGCACAAGTAATCCTTCAAGTTCACAATAAATGTTTCAGCTGGATTTACCACATGCCTTACTTCAAACGTATGCTCATCTGACATTATGCATTTAACATTAACAATAACATTTAACAGTCTGCAATTAAAAATTAACAGACCATACCTGACAAGCCATAAGTTTGTGTAGGCACTTGTTATGTCCATCTTCTTTCAAATGTTGGGCAAAATATCATTACCAGATATGTCTTGGAACCTCATTATGTTTTTTTCCCATCTCTCCATCATGTAAGTTCTGATCTCCTCTAGCATTCTAGAGCAGGTTCAACATTCATCTTAACTGTTGACCCTGGATTGGCTCTTAGCAGTTCATAATAATAGTCATATATCTTAGTGTAATCACCCAGAAAGGAACCATCAACCCTATTCCTTGCAGCCACTATTACTCTTATTGCTTTAGTCTTGTTTACACCTACATCCCACTTCCTCAATTCCTTTTCTTTAATATCCTGGACCTTCAACCTAGGGTTATTTTTCAATGCATTCTGAATCCTCTTGCTCAACCACTTTGTGCTTAACATCCTCACATTATACTCCCTGATACAGTTATGACTGTCAATTACTTTCCTTATTTTCCAGGTTTCCTCATTTAATAACTTGGAAAAATAAATCTCTCACTCACAACCTTCCTTACATCTCACCCTTACCCTTTTATTATCATTTTTTATCATCTTGAGGGCTCTTCCATTTTAAACAGCATACGATGTAACTGCTTCCTTAATATCATCCTTTGAAGTAAAATATATTCCTAATTCCCATTTGTAATTGGCCATATCTTTTATCTCTTTGAAAATTGGGTATTTATTCCTTTAAACCCCACTACTGTCATCACTGTCACAACCACTTTGAAGATCCTCATTGTCATTGTCACTCCCCTTATATTCCTCTGTAACTTTGTTGCACTTTCCTTTTCCTTTTCCTTTTACTTTTCCTTTTCCTTTTCCTTTTGATATTTCATTACTGTCATACAAAGTCAGGTCTGCAATTTCATTTTCATCAATGTCCTCATAACCATCAGATTCATCTTCAAAGGCTACTTCTATGGCACTATCATACTGGTAACTCTCATCCTCACTGTCATCAGAATTAGATTCATCGTGCACCTGACCATCAACATCAGTATTTGGCCCCATTTCAACAGGATCCACTTCAACATTTGTTGCTTCCACCCCTACATTTGCATCATTCAATCCAGCATTACTTTGTTCCACAACAACACTTAGATCATTCAATCCATCATTAACTTCATCCACACCAACAACAGTCTCCTTTAATTTTCCATCAATGTCATCATGCAGCTTGCTAAGCAACTCCTCCATCTCATCTACAACGTTCTCAGGCTCCTCAACAAGACCATCAAAACACTCAGGTTGAGACAACCTGTGTTAAATGTAAACATTAACAACATGGTGCACCCTGTATAGGTCTGTAATTTCTAGGGCACCTTTGTCATCAACTAGTTCATTCATCGCAAATTGTGGGTCTTTGTAATACATTTTCTCTACATTGTCCGTATAACCTAAGTCTTTCAATACACCAACTAATTCAAAGTAACTCCACCTATCAACATCTACTGACAATTCAGATACCAGGCCTCCTTCATAGACACTAAGCTTTGGATCAACGAACTCACTATTGTGGTGGATTACGAGTTTCAGAAATTCATCCATTATACCTAAATCCCAAAAATCCCATATCAAATATCCAGTTACGAAGACAAAATAAGAATAACATACCTGAAAAGCAATCACCTACGGAGTCACCTTCTCAAGCTTCGCAAGCCTCTTCGCAAGTCTCTTCCTCTTTTCTTTGGCTTTCGTTTTTGGCTAACAGAACATGCATTTCCTAACTTCAGCTTTGAGAGATTTTTTGTCCTTATTCTCTGCCACATTGCCTTCAACAAGTCATTTCAAGCATGACAACTGCTACTCGGAGTCTGCTTTTTGTATTTCACTAACGGAAGGACTAACGTGGCTGCGTTTTGAAACTTAAAGGATCATTTTGGCACAAAAAAAAAGGGACCAAAGTGAATCATGACCTATAGTTAAGGGACCAAAATGAATATTTCGCCTATTTATTTAATACTCATATCGATTTTATGCGACTCATGCAAACGCACGGGTCCTTTACTAATTATTAGATAAAATTTCAATATTTATGAATCAAAATATTTATTAATTAGGAGGCAAAAAAAGGATGAAGAGATATTTTTTTACTCTATTTTATTATATACGTTGATGTACCAGACAAATTATAACTTTTATATAATATTTCTATCAATATAAAAAAAATATTTAAATTATATTAATGAGAGAATAAAAAATTGCATTTTGATATCTTTTTATAATTTATGTTTGGAACAAAAGTTATCTCATAGTTTAGTGAAAGACAATAGTTCAGGTCCTTATCTAGTCCCTTACCATATATTTTGTCAGTTCTCTAATAACTTTTTGGATCAAAGAGTATACAAAAAAATTATATTGTCTGATCTTTTATTTTATAAATTTTTACTATTAAATTAATACTACAAGTAAAAAAAAAAAAAACGTATACTATGCACTATTAATTCAAAGTAGTTTAAATTATATTGTCAAACGTAATTTTTTTTTTTTTTTATATTCAACAAAATGGATGCAAATAGTCCATCTATTTCATTCAACAATAAAAAATATATATGAATTTTTTGTAAATAAGAATACTTCAATATATATTATTTTTTAGTCGTTTTAATTATTTTAAAATAATAATCTTTTTCAATTCTAAATTTAGTTTTCATTGTTCAATAACTTAAATAGTATGCTTTATAGATTGACAAAATAAAAATCATATTTATTAAACTAAAAAAAAAACATTTTAACATAGATTTTAGTCTTATAAATATATGGTTTCCACTTTTTTAGTCATTTTTATACCCCACAACATATGTTGTCTTTTAAAGTATTGACCAAATATATCATGTTTCAATTGACTTCAAGTCAAGTCTATTTTGAGTGTTGATATCTTTCACTATTTTACCATTTGAAAAAAACCTCTCAAATAGATTGAAAAAAAACCTGTCTAATGAGTTGAAAAGTGTGATCATTGATGAAGTCATATAATTTAGCAATTCCTAAAATGAGTCAGTGATATTAATAGTCAACAATCATAACAGTAAAAACAAATTTGGCAATTCTAAAATAAAAATAAAACCTAGTACTACACTAGTGACAACCTACACACAAATTTGATATTGTTAACAATTAGATTGACTATTTGAAGATTATGATATGATACAAAAGAGGTCAAGATGACTTGTTTCTTCGATGGACTGACCCCTTTAGAAGGCAAAGCCGCAAGCGTCTACTGAGAGCCTCCAGCTTCTCAAATCTGTCACTCCTTGGTTTCTTTGCAACCGTTTCGGCTTTATTCTTCTTCTTTTTATTCTTCTTGTGCGTCTTTTCATCTTCTTTTGGATCAGATGACTTCTCTTTCATGCTCCGCAAAGGTGTTGCAAATACCTTCACCGTGTTCTGACATGACAAATAGTTTACTCTCACTTTGAGAATCATTTTCAATATACACATCTATCTGCTGCTAGTAATGAATAAAGCCTAGAGAGAAACCTGAGAGTGTTTATCATCAGCACTTAAATCTGCAAAAGATTCTTGATCACTGCCTCCTAAAGAAGAACATCTTCCCCAACTTTCTCTAGTCGAGCTTGTATATGAGCAACAATCTTCAATCTGGCCATTTAGCTTACCCTATAAAGTCATTCATAGTATTTTGTTCAAGTTAAGTAAAGGATAATTCCCGGACCATTTATTAATTTCAGAGACGGTTATATAAAGATGACCTGCACATTTGCGGCTTCATCATTTTTGTCTCTCGTATCTTCTTCAAACAAAGGCTCCTGCAGTACAAGCAATGGATAAACTAAACAGAACAAAGTTTTTTGAAGAAAATAATGGAGACCTACTGCATCAGCCAGTGGAGCTGCTTCCGAAAGAAGTTCGGTAACTGAATTTGTTTCAGATATTGTTGGAAATGCAGAAGATGAACTTGCAGCATCAGTAGGTGCAGACCGTAGACTAGAGAGAATCTCATATAATACGCTCTAGCATGGAAAGAAAAAGGAAAAGGGCAAATTAGTTTCTGTAGTGTCTTTTATATTTTTCAAGACAATGGAGTAGAAATGCTAAATACCTCATCCACACCGGAACCGAGTTTCAAATCCCCCAAATCATAATATTTCTCGAGCTTTTCAGCAATAGAAACTTGAGGAGGACGGAGGACATTGTAGAAGAAAATGGAAACTGAATCATAAAAGAATTGTGGCCGAGAAGAGTTGTGGTCGCCATCAAATTTTATGATATTTTTATCACCCTACGGATTCAGAAACAGAAGTTAGATATTTTGGCTATCAAAGAGAGAGAAAATGCAAACTGCTTATATTTGTAAAATTAATACCGCGTAGGATTCAGAGATGAGATCGGAGTGGTGTGGCTGAATGAATTTGTCATCACTTGCATGTCCAAATAAAACAGGAATGAATGTCTTCGGTGCAACCTGTAGGCTTTAAAAGCATTAATTTACGATAAAAATGGAGTCGAAAAGAAATGATGTCTCTAAAAGAAATTCGTTTAGCCAGAAAATAATGCTTAACAAAACATGATCAATGAAAGTTTACATAATTGCATTCATAATTTTTTTACTATAAAAAAGACAAGCAATTAATACTTACCAGAACACAGTTCAGTTTCATGATATCAAACTTTGCCTTCTTCTCAATAACCCGCCGCATGTATTGTACAGCCATTTTAACCTAATCAGGGAGAAAATGCAGTCAAATATCTGACTTAAATGTACTGGACAAAATCATGCAAACAAGGCAATATCCCCTATGATGCATTACTATAGATGCATAACTATTAAATCCCCAATTTTCATATTTAACAATTTCATAATAAAAAGAACTGTAATTATAACAAGAAAACCTAGATCCAAAACAAAATCTTGATCAAAATTAATTCTAGTCTTCAATCCTTGCTACTTTACTTTTCCATCTTAAGAAAAAGGAAATTACTAAGTTAAGACTTGCAGATACACCAAATCCTAGAAGCTAGAGCCTAGAACAATTTAACCTCTTACAGGTTCCAGGCTTCCAGCAACAATTTATGAAAAAAGTTTACAGATTACAAGTACAAATAAACAGCATATTAAGATGCGGTTACAACCATGAAGCAACAATTTTTTAAGTCTTTTGCAGTTTCAACCATATATAGTCTCACTTTTTCCTATACACCACGACTGTTTCAATTGAGCATTCATAACAAAGGGAGTTGGCATCCACACACACAAAGAGAGAAAGGGAGGGAGAGGGAGTACAGTGAACTTTGGAAGTCGGATTTTATAAACATCCACTAGCTCCATCATGAGATTATATAAGTTTGAAAAGGCGCTATCCAATACCATTCCAGCAATAGAAGGGTCTTCAGCTCCGTAAAGAAGGCTACACCACATCAAAATAAAGTGAATACTCCATTACATTCAAGTACCAAAACAGCATAAATTGTTTTAAAAAATATTAAAATTCATTGAAAGATGTAGTACCTAGTAACTGCGCCCATTGATCGTCCCCATAAACCTATACGGGATATTTGCTTGTTGCTTCTCAAATGCGACACCACAATCTTCAGATCATCTTTCTACCACACAAAGGAATGGTCAAAAAGAGTCTAAAAGCTTCTTTCGTATAAAATAGTAACACTAACATTCAGCTCGACAACATTACAATCTTCAAGCCAACCAAGGCTAACATGGTCTCCACCAGACAAGCTTGACCCCGAGAAGACAAAGGTAAAAAACAGTAATATTTTGTTCTAATTAAACAAATGAACGCATTCATGAAGTCGTAACTTACTTCATGCCAACCAAGGCTAACATAGTCTCCATCAGATAAACCCGACCCTGAGAAGTCAAGGGTAAAAACAGTAATATTTGATGGAAGAAGAATTACAGCAGCTTCATTCGCATCTGCCCTACATCCACTGCATCATTGAACACATATCACGCGGGAACAGCTATGTCATTTTGATAAGTTAATGCTCGAAAAGTAATATTTACAATCATAACTAGAATCAATAGCAGTGAACATAAATGTGACATATACCTGTTTCCATGGCAATATACAACACAAGGAAGAGATGTATCTTCAGGAAACGGAGAAGGGAGATAATGACTACACTTTAAGGTATAGCCTCTGGCATTCTTGAGCTGTGGAATTAGAAAATAGATAATCTAGCAGTATATACGCAAACAAACAACTGGAATCGTGGTGTAACTTATATTAGATAGACAACAATAATTGCAATAACCTATGAAATAAATAGTCCATACTTGCCTCCAAATCCTGCCTTTGGTACGTTCTACCAGCGAGGGAGAATTCCTTTTCCCACAGATACTGATCCGGGTTATAGTCCGCCCTGTGAATGTCGCAAAGTATACACACCAAAACTATAACTCAATTTGCAAAACTAATAATAACATGATCAAGTGCTTTTTTCCCTTAATGCTCAACCACTAAGATGACATGGTCATTAAAATTGAATATGACATTTCTACATGTAAACATGTAAGGGAGCTAAATGCTATAGATAAATTTGTTAGTACACCTACCAAGCCACCAACCAATGAAACAAAAAGTAATAGTATTAGTAATACCTCGGCGGCCTAATCACGAAATTGATGAATTGCTCAATCATCTTGCTTCTACATGTATCTCATAGCAACTTCGCGTCATGAGATGAGCTTACAATTATAATGAACTAACTCTCCGAAAAGCAAAAACTCAAAATTCTCCAATCTCCACCATCTTCACAACTCAAAGCTTCTTATAAAACCCCAATTCAAATAACCAGACAGATATTTATGAAGCTCAACACAAGTTAGCTATCAATATCCAATTCCTGTGAAAAACAACACCAATTAGTGGAATCCAAATTTAAGCTGGCCCCAAATCCTAATTAATAATTTAAAAGAATACCCAGAAATCTAAAAGCACTTCCAGATCCAAATGCCCTTAAAAGTACTTGTAAGAAAAGGAAAAAAAAAAAGAAAGTATTATTTAGAGTTTAGACCCTTTCTAGTTGTAGTACTATAAGTGCAGCAAGCAAGCAACTTTATGAACTGTCAACAACAAAAAAAACAAAAAAACAAAATTGGGTTATTGGGTATACGTGAATTGTTGAAAATGTAAAAGGAGGAGAAAAACTAAGTAAAACGAAAATGTAATAAGATCCCAAATGAAAAGTACAAGATATAATTTAGGGAAGGAAAAAGAATGAAGAAGGTGGAAAAGGGAGAAAAGGAAAGAACTTTACCGAAATGAAAAGGTGGGACTGGAAGGAAATAATAAAGATAAGCGAAGCTGAGGAGAAGTGTGGTTGGTTGCAGAGAGAGAGAAATGAAAAGAAGGTTATTGTTTGTTATTATGTGATTCTTTTTCAGTACAGAAAAGATTGACAGGTACAAGAATTGAATTCAACAAAACAAAGAAAGAAAGAAAAAATGGATTATATTACTATATGAATTATGAAGTGAAGTTAAGCTGAAAAGCAGAAACAGATGAGCCAGCTGTGTTTTTTATTTTCTGTATCAAATTTTGCTTTTGATTATTTTAATGGCTTAATGTTTTCTTTTTCAAATTATTGATTGGCTGTAAGTCATTCTTATGTTAAGTATATTTCAATTTTCTATGTTCAAGCACAATTTCTCTGAAAATTTATTATTTTTTAGACTATTAAGTCAACTAATAGAGTTGTATGTTGAATTAATATTTTTATAAATATGTATTTATTTTATATATAAAATTTAGTAACATATCATTGAATGTATGTTTGTGGGTTTTATGTATGTTTCGTTCGAAAATTAGAAATGGATGTTGTTAGAAAATTGATGATCTTGAACGATCTGATCTCTTTTACGACAACGTATGGTGGACTTGCATGATTTGCGCTCCAACGTTCAAGTCAGTTCGAGATTCAAGATGAGTATATTGAAAAAATGGAGATTAGAGATTGTACCTTGTTTCTTAGCGTGTGAACTGGTTTTATACATTGGGTCAAGTGGAGTTGATTTGTAATGGATTGAGCATTAGCCATTTGAGCCTTTGGCCATTCCAGAATAATTGTCCCCAAGGCTTTGTCGAACACTGAACAAATCGGAGGAAGTCTTAAGTATGTTGGGCAACCTTCAAGTTGTGGTCCGATGTAAAATGGAATTGAAACGTTTGGAATCAATTGAAAACAATAGTTGTGAATAGGCGCATTAAATGCGGTCTCATCATTAAAACGCTTAGTAACCCTTCTTTGGCATGTGCGGTGACGTGACCAGCTAGGGTATGGCGCAATTTACAAAGAACTTGAATGCATTCGAGTTGGCGTGTATTCGTGAGTGAAAATCTAGTCGTTGATCATACGACTTCTTTGGTCTGAAACATTTTAGTTGTTGTTGCCTATAAATAAGATGAATTTAGTATTTGGAAGTTTTCGCAACCTTTAGCATTCAAACTTACAATTGCTTTCTCAAAAAATGCATTTGTTTCCTCTTCCTTGAGAGTATTGCTAGAAGTTATTTCAGTGTTTTTCTTAAAACTTCTGCCTTTCTTCCTCTTCTCATGCTTCATCACTCCCACATAACCAGGTATCATTCTAACTCAAGCTTTTATCTCAAGCATTTTCTATTTTCTAGTTAGGATGAGTGATAATATGATTGGCTTAGTGAGCAATTCTGAAGTTGAAACTTCATATGCATATGTAATGGGGACACCCCCTAGTGAGCAAACCAGAAATATATCCCTATCTAACGATTTTGACTCAAAAAGGGTATCTAAGAACTCCTTCATAGGCTCTGAATACTGAGACTGTTATAGATGCGGCTGGCATTGTGGTTGGTGATCCCATATAATGGTTAGTTTTTCTAGTGGAGCCGAAAAAGAGGATATGTAGTTATTTTGATGACTGCGTGATCTCGTTTTATGATTGCTTGCTCACAAGAATACGACTGTCCTTTTCTACCTGAGGTAGTTGTCTTGAAATATCTAAAAGTTTCTCTTTCCCAACTTTATTCGGGGTCTTGGGCATACATAAGAGTATTTTTGTTGTGTTACAACACAAATCTTATAAGTCTTCTCTTAGATTATTCTTTGATCTTTTTCATCCAAGGCACAATTCTCAAGACTTTTTGTAATCAGGGGCTTATTTGTGTTTATCAGGTTAATCCTTGGTTCGACCCCTTTGCTCTGGATTGGGGTGATTTCCTAGGGAATTTATTATTGGTAAATCCCCTCACACCCACAAACCATCTTGTTTGCTGATATCTCCCTGTCGATTCTCCTCGCTTCTGTCAGATTTTGTATCTGAGGTACTGGTATAAGATACACTTTAACAGGGATGCTCACTCTTACTATACCAAAGATGGTTCTCTTTCTCCGAACAATGTGACAATGAAGAAGGAAATGAAATTCTAGTTTCAGGAACTTAACTATGAGGAAGGGTTTCGCAAGTTGAAACACTCAAAAGCGGAAAATCACCTCAAAGTTCTTCAAGTTATTAGATCAAAAGTAGAGTCCAAACAATAAAAATTATTAGAATTTACAACATATACACATTCCTCAAGCTAATAAAAGAAAGCTCTCAGAAGTTTAAACAAGTTGAATAGTGAAGATTTGAGAATTTAGAACAAGTCCAATTTCAACTTGTTTAAACAACAATCAACAAACTACCTAAACTAACAAAATGAAAAACAATAAAACATGCTTGTTTTACGTCGTAAGCTCGACGCCTGTTATTTAAGAATGTTCCTCCAACTTGCTTCCACCCTGTTATTCCTAACCAACACATGAGCAAACGTGAAAGGAAACAAACAATGATATAACAAATTCACAAGTATAGAAAACATAAACAAGTATCAATATAAACAAGTGAAGATACACAATATATATACGATATCTACAAATCTCAAAAACAAAGAATCTATCGCGATGCGATTCAATAAAAACACCAATCCCCATCAACAACGCCATTTTGCTGATGTGGTAAAGTGGCAAACAAAATTAACTATTTGTATAGGGTGATATAGGTTATATTGTATCTTATCCAAAGGGATTAGTGCTACTGAATTATCGTTCGACAAACCTCTCACTTTTATGAGTTTGGGTTAAAATGGGTTTGTTTGTAAGGAAAGGTAAAAGGTATTAACAAAAAATAAATTCATTCTTCAAAGGAGAAACTTACCAGGCATGCATATAATCCACTCCTCACAGACTTAAACATATCAACCAATTATACTCAACCTACAAGACTCATCAATCTCATCACGTGTCAAACATGACACCAACTATATCACCTCGGTAGAGATCTCTCAACCAACCTCAACAACACAGAAGTCAAATGTGTTAAACGTGTCGACAATCTCTCAGCACGACATAACCAATACAGAGGCATTAATCACAGACACCCAAGTGAATAATAACACTAAATCTATCTCTATAATCTAGACACTATTAGACAATCATCCTAGATAAGAATTCGAGCAGTATATGTATATAACAACCCAAACCCCAAGCACAGAGCAAATATCCAGGACAATAATCGACAATGATCTATAAATCAAAATACATATAACTCCATGGGCGACAAATATACATGAGTTCAAAGTAAATACATATACAAACTCAACAAATAAAGAATACACAAAGAAGAAGAGAAATGAACCACAAATCTACCAGTTTGTCAGCGTCGATCGAACAGCAATCCACCTCGGATCATCTGTATGCAAGTTTCATAGTTGTTTTCTAAGCTAACCCTAAGAAAAAATGAGGGTTGATGAATTTGGGAGCTCAAACTATCCCCAAACCCATAACCCTAACAAATGAAATGTAAAGAAAATATATACAAAAATATGTTCAGGAACGCACCGTTGTTGGAGCGGTAAAGCGACAGGAAAAAGTAAAGTATTATTTTATCGGGTGATATTTAGCTTATATCACATCACGTCCATGGAGATTGGTGTATTGAAATTTCGTTCGACAAATCTCTCGTTAATGAGTTTGGGGTTTGAATGGGATGAAAGGAAAGGTAAAAGATGTCACATCTGGGATTTTCATTGAAACGCGACACAGAGGCGAAAAGGAACAGAAGAGTCACTATAATATGGTGGGATAACTGACTTGGGTGTTTTGCGTTTTATCGCAATTGTTGCGTGTTGTACCCCAAAATTTGCCCTCCCTTTCTTCAGGAAACCATCTTGGATTTTCAAGGTCCCTCTGAAACAAATCCAAGTCCTGAGTTATCCTTTTGCCCAAGCAAGCCACTTACAAGAGCAAGATGATCTCACGAACTCCAAAAATAACGCTTTTATCTTGAGAAAAATCAAATTCTAAGTACTTAGAACGTTTCTCTAAAATGAGTGTTTAAGGAAGAAATCAGCGCTTCAGAACTTCTGGACCCATTCCAGATATAAACGGTCAGAAGTTGCAAGCTTGGCTCAGCGTGGTCAGAAGTTGGCTTTTCAGCAGCTACATCAGTTCAATCAGAATTTGTAAACATGGTTCAGTATGTAAGCCTCAAACAGAACATGCCCCTTCAGCAGTTACACAAAAACGGTCAGAATTTGCTAAAGGAATGCAAGAGAAGCAGGGAAGTCTGAAGGCTCCTTCAGAACAGGTTGAAATCAGAAGATGAAAGATCAGAAGAGTGGGTGTTACACTGATACAGAATCTCTAAGCCCAGGAGGTCCAGAAGTAAATCCAGGGAACGTACCAGAAAACCAGGAGAATCTCCAGAGCTTACTAAGACAACAGGAAGCCAAGGCCAGAGCATGGTTTACACTGTTGATTCAACGTTGGTTTCCATTACCAGAATATTGATGTTGATAGGTCTTGTCACCATTTAATTCCCATTAATGCTTCCAACCACTCCTGAACATTCACGTGTGGCTTGGAAAACGCTTTTGTGCAGATTCTGGCAAGGGTCTACGCGCCACCGCCCACTTCAGAGGTCACTTCTCCCCAATCTACGCCTGCTGCTGCAGCCTAGGCTGAAAGCTATCTGTTATCACAACTTCCCAGGAATTTCTGTCAAAGAACAAATTCAAACTCTGTTGGCGCTTTAAATGTTCAAGGCATCCACAAGAACTTTGCCTATAAATAGAGAGTCTTCACCACTGCAAAAGGCGTTCAAGAAAAGAAACAGAAATTGCTAAGTGAGAAACATAACTCTTAGCAACATAGCGTTCTAAAACTCTGCCAAAATCTCCAGTTTTGTTTCACAACTTTGAGTTTCTCACCTTCAAACTTCATCAAATATCCAGTTCTCTCTGTGAACCAAAAACACCCTTTCCAAACTTCTGACCCTACATACGTATACGCCTTTACCAGCCCTTTCAAAGAAAATTTGTCCAGAACACCACCAGAGCCAAAAGCTAACTTTCACCCACCAACTTTTCCAACAGTCAGGTAAGCACCTGCTGACCCTCATCACGCTGTTAAGCATCATCAGTTGTGCATACTCAAATGAACATAATGTAAATATCATGTTGTTGCTGTTTATGTTCTGAGGATTTTCATACCTCAGAACGTTCTGAGCCAGTATAGGACTTGCCTGTGACCTTGGTGGTTCTGAACTCTGAAACATTTTTATATTTGCTGGATCTGTTCCAAATATGTTTCCTGTTTTGTGGAGTAACAACAGAATTGCAGATGTTCTGATTAGTACAGGGAAAAGCCAAGTGTTGACTTTGACGTTAGCACATCTGAAGCCTGTTTTGCTGTCAATGATATCAGAACCTCTGAGAGTTATTGCCTTTTCAGCAGAATCAGAACTTCTGGTTTCTCCACTAACAAACTTCTGTCTTGCAGCGCAGGGGAATCAGAACTTCTGATTTCCCCACTAACAAGGTTCTGTTTTGCAGGTGCCAGAGTCAGAAGTTCTGACTCATACAGTTTAACCAAGAGGTTGATCATCTGGCAGCGGATCTGAGTCAGAACTTCTGATGACCTCCCAGCAGCGCGCGGGCTCCCTCTCTCTCTCTCTATATATCTTGTTTTTTGCTATTTTCTTTTTTGTCTATTTTTCTCGTTGAACCCCCCATGTACAAATGTGTATCCCCCTCCCCTAATTGTTGTAATAGCGTAGGATTTTATATTTCCGCTTCTTATTACTAGTAATTAGGACATGTATGGCAAGATAAAATCAATGAAATAGAAAAACCTAATTCAAAGAAAAAACTCTTGTATGCAATAGAACACACTCGCACACTAACACCCCTAGGGTTACATCCACTTGTTGCCTTTCAAAATTAGGCCATATTGCATGTTAGGTCTCTTTGGGCAAAGCAAACAATCAAATGATCATAGTCCCTCGATGACGCTTTCGAAAGTTGCCTAAAATGATCAAAGTCCCTTTCAAAGAAAATTGCCCAAGGATACTTAGCACTTTTTCAATTATGGTCTAAACGATGACCCGCGCCCGTCCCTTTCACATCCTAACACAAGATTGTCCACCAAATACAATGGTGGAACAAAATTGTTAAAAGGGTTAAAACATAGCAATGATCTTTGAGAAATTTAGGGTAGATAGCTCTTGGTTACTTGCCAACTTGTAAAATAAAAACACTTGCCTATTTTTTCAAAATCACACATCACAACAC